AGTATTAATCATCACCACAACCACCTCTATGCAAACCCTGCTCTGTGCCAGGCTGGCATCCCTCCTGCAAGCGGCAGTACCTGTCCTCGCCGCAGCACCCCCTCCCCTTCCCCTGGCCTCTTCCGTCCCCGACTCCAGGCCCCCCCTTGACTCAAAACCTCACATGTGCTGTGCTACAGCTGACCGGCTTTCTTTTGGCTACACGTGCTTGTAATTCATGACAGCACTAAAACATGTCAACAGCAGAAGAAAAGGGGTCAAAGTAGCTGTTTATGAGTATTTCTCTTGATTATAATCCAGGCTTAGGTGGAACATCATTTTGTCTTCCAATCCTCTTCTATTTTCTTCTGCTGTATCCACAGCACCTGACACCCCACAATCAGACTACCAAGAAGTATACCTACCACAAAAATAATTTTCAGTGCTGAGCCCTTGGAGCCGCTCCAGCTTTCTGAATCCTCCTTCTGCCCTTAGACAGCTTTCCCCACAGATGGATCGAATGTCAAAGTCCTGGACTACCAATAACAGAGCACGCAGAACCCTTTTTTCTTTCGTGCATCCTCTGGCACCACACAATTAGTTTTCAACAAAAATAAACAGAATTACAGGAAAACCCTGCAGGAGTGGACTGGCAGCATGAATGCCTCTGCAGACCCCACCAGAGCTGCTTTAAGTCTTTGACTCCTGCTGTCAGATGATCTTGTATAAGCCAGAAATGCGAGCTGTGCATAGATAGGAGGACATTTTAATTTTGTTATCTGGTTCATTGGGAAGCACTGTCACTTCCGAAATCAGGAGGTGGTGTGTTGTGTACACTGCAACAAGGCTTGAGCACTTGCCCAGTGATAGCATCGTACTGCTGAATGATGAGAAAGGGACTTGTGCTTGGAAAAAGGGCTGATGAATGCACAGCGCATTTCAGAGAACAAAATTCTGATGTCCACTCCTTCTCTCAGAACAGATTCTTGTTTAAAATGCTGACCAAGTTGGACAACATAGAGATTTAAAGTAAATGCTCCCACAAACTTTGAAAATTTGAAATCTTAAGTATGAAGATTTAAAAATGAATTGATATAAATCTATACGAATATCTGTATACACCTATAAACAAAAATTTACAGATATATATATGCAGAATTTGATGGAAAGGGAATTAAGAAATACTAGTATAAACATCTGAAAGAAAAGGGCATAGAGTGGTTGTAGGATGTCTTTATTCTCTCTCATTTCCACTCCCAGCCAAACCCCTGCTAATTTAAACCAAATAGCTAATCAAATGAGATCAAACAGACAACGCCACCCCTGTCAGGAGTTCTCCAGCAAAACTGTATCAGTCAGCTTTATCATCTTTGGAAAGGGAAGGCCCATCTCCTGTGGACTATATGACGGCACTTAGGTTGCCGTGTTAACAGCTCCTCCAACAGTGGGACAATTGCTTTTCTAAGATCAAAACGAAAACTGAATTTACTGCATAAAATGCAGTAAAAGTACATATCAGATGTTTAAGAATAAAGCATAAGACTTCTCCCTAGAAAAAATCTGAGCCACACACTTCACTCATGAAGGACTGGGCTTTGCATGTTTCCTCTTATCTAATATTCAACAAGTCTGCTAATGAGAACCTCCTGCTCATTCACCGTGGTAGTGCTGCTAACAGTGTACAGACTCCACCTTTCCCTCCAGTTGCTACACAAACGCAATCTAGCACCAGTTCAGGAAAGACCTTTTCCAGGCATAGCACAGAGAAAGGAGGGCCATCTCCCAGGTTCACACAGTTCATTTGCAATGCAGAAATCCTATGACCAAAGCATTGTTTCCCTTCCAATACGCATTACAGAACACACCAAAACTTTGTTATCAGCTTTGTTATCGCCTTGCTCATTCCCTTAATTCATTTACATTTCCCTAAAATTCCTGTCTGAACATGGTTAGTCAAAATGACTGGTGCACACAGCAATTTTGGCGGCTCGTTGATCATTCCCCATTATGAATCAGCAACATAAGTTCTTAAACAACTGTAGGCTTACCTCATACCAGGCTCCTTTAACTCATTCTTGATCTTTAAAATGGGAGGATGATCCCCCCTTCCTGACTGTTTTGTCTATTAACATTATATGATGGGAGAGAGGGGAATATAGATTTTCTATAGCTATTTCTAAATTACTTCTTACTGTGGACTCCCAATCTTGCTTGAAGGCCATCAGTATGATCATACAACAAATACGAAATAATTCAACTGTCAGTAATATTGCTAGTTTAGCCAACATAATATATATCTGGGGTGGTGTATCAGCATACATACAGAGAGTCACAGTGCAGCTGTGTTCTCCCCTATGTACCTAGAAGTGTATTCCACAGTCTCACTAGATAAGACAACTTAAAATGCTGGATAAAGAGATGGAAATCTTAGAGCTCATAGCTATCTCCATCTCTCCAACCATCTTGGTAAAAAAACTACCAAAACAAACAGAAAATGACTTGCTAGGCTAACACAGATACACTAACAGATTTTTATTATTAATTTTTAAAAGTAATTTTTAGTGTTAAATAAACTGTGGAAAAAGGATTTGATTCATGGTTGCATTAGGAATCTACTCAACCAAAGCCCCTTGTCACAAATTAAATCATAAACCAAAAGTCAAACATGATTTGTGAAATTAACATTTATCGAGGAAATACTCCCCAGCGCTGCATCGTGATTAGTCTCTGGCATCTGAAATATCACTCATAATTCACGAGCTCCTCTGAAACCATGCCACTACCGTTACTGTCGAGATGGCAGGCATGACGGAAAGGTGCTGCCACAACCAGCGAGCAATCCCTTTTTTGATGCTGGTGAGAACTAGAGGTCACTGTGTCTTATTATTTGGGAAAGTACATGCATACACACTTCTCAGCTCCCACACACTTGCAATGCTTCGCCTCTCCACAGGCACTCTCTTCCATCTCAGATTTATACAAGGCCATGGCTGCTTCTAATTTTGAACATGGAGGCTCGGCAGAAGCTCCACATTGTGCCCTTTCTTTAAAATAGTGACTAATAAAAAATGAAATGTAACCACAAGTCATTGGTTCTTTCAAAGAGTCAGTGTCTTTCAGCAGAGGGATTCAGTGCCTTTGCAGGGAGATGCAGACAGCTCAATCTTACAGCCAGAGGAGCTATAGTACAAAGAAGACTTAGTGATTGTCACAGACTAAATGGTCACTGGCAAGCCAGCTTTGGAGCTCAACATTTTTTAGAAGCCAGGAGATCCAGATACAGTTTAAAGATATGGGATGCTTCCCTGTTCAAGGTGATTTTTAACAGGAAGATATTTTCCTGCCAAGATATGCAGTCATTTTTTTGAAATCTTGGTGTAAGACCATCCCCGCTGCTCTGGGCACTAGATATTCTTCCCACGGAGGAAAATAGCCCCCAAGTCTTTCAGGGTAAAGAAGGAGAGCTCAGCTGAGCTGCTGGCTTCACAAGCATTCAGAGCAAGAAGAAAGCTTCAGCACGTCTGTAACCCATCTCCTCACTTCAAGTGATGATCATGGCCTTTCTTCTTCATGTGTTCATACACTATCTCCACTGCCCGAGTATACCACCCCTACCTGGAACACATCAGCTGTACGCTGTGTTATGCAAGTGTGCATGTGTCTACATATGTGTATATGAAAGAAAGCCTGGGGCCTCATCCTATACCCCTTTAAATCAGAATACAGTGGAATTTACTCTTATAAATGGTGCCTTTCTTTTCAGGATTAAAAGAGAATTTACTGGCTGTAAAGCCTCATTTCTCTTCGCTACCCTTCTGTTGCACACAGAGCAGGCTGCATTAGATCTGGGCCTCTGTCCTCAGCTGGGGCAAACCAGGCTTAATAGAGCCGTGACCACTTATGCCACTGGGGACACAGCACTTGGCATGCAGCTCAGAGAACATCTGAGCCAGCCTCCACCCAGAGCCTGCACAAGCTCACCCTGGCAGCCACATTTCACTGCGGATGGCAGGCTCTGCCCCACAGGAGGACAGGGAACCCAAAAGAAATTACTGCCTGTTCTACTAAGCTAACCCTTAGGCACAGAGGCCTTACTTCTCAGAACAGGAATTCATTGCTCCAGTAACAAGACTGGCTGAATAGTCCATGAGGGATTGTTACCTCCATTCAACATGCTTTCTTTGGGTAAACAGTCATTCCCTTCTTGTGTTGTGACATTAAAGAGAGGTCACCAATGGATGGTGGTTTTTAAAAATAGTTTAATTTTTTTTTCACCACGCTCTTCTACTTGCAATAACCTGTTAAAAAGCTGAAAATAACATGGAGTTCCCTACTGGGTTGCCCTTTTCCATTTGGAGAACATTGATTTTTTTTCCTGTTGTGCTGAGATTAATGTGGCCTGTTTGACAACAGATTCAACGTATCTAGTGCCCTGTCAAGCTAAAATGACTCTGTCTGTGGACAACTTCCCTGTCTGGCACTGGCAATGATGTGAAGGAAAAAAAAAAAGGCTTTATTACTTAACTGTTACTGCAGAACCATCAGGAGATTTCAGCAGCCCTTAAAACCAAAAATTGTTATTGATGGGGCAAATCTAAAATATTGTTAGTGAGAGTCAAGGGTTTCAATGAAAACTATCAGGCAAGGGAGGTTATACAAATTATCCACTGTAACAGTCTGTTACAGTTTTGATTCAAAATGGTTCCAGGCCTTACAGGTACAAACATTCCTCCCCTCTTGCTGTTTGACAGAAAAGTTTCATTTGTTCTCTCTCCTCCAACGTAAGCAGGAAAAGAAACAGCGTATAAGTACAGTACAGAGAAGAAAATGAGAAAAACTACAGAAATAAGGAGTGATGCTTCCTAACCCAAGTACCAGATATCACACAGATGCCAGCTGAGGGTCAAAACACACCCTGCTCCATTCTTTCAGAAACAAAAACTAAGTTCCAAAACCCTCCTCTCCCTCCCTTCCTTCCTCCTTCCCTTCTCCCTTCTCTGGCAAAAGCCAGTAATACATACAAATATTTTTTATTTTCGTAAACATCATGCAGCTTTAAAACATGGGGATGTTCTATCAACTTCAGGATGGCTATTTCCCGCTCCACCTGGAAGAAACAAAAAGAAAGAGAGAAAATTAGAAGCTTGGTCTTAGAATACATTCAATATCATCACACATTTTCTTCCCATTTATCCATTTTCCTCTTTATACGCAGGATATGGCAACTTATAACAATGTATCACATTTAGCACTCATATAATTTATGAAAAATTCAATTTATTCAGCCTCAGTAGTTCTGCCCTGCAGGACAGAAAATCAGGAAAATTTCAAGGCTGAAAAATCTACCAAAGGGAATTAGCTGTAGGAGTTACGTGAGCATTCAAGGCTGTTCCTGCCTCAAAATCCAAAGCCAATGACATATTCTCAAAGTACAGAAACTCTAAGATGTCACTGACCTCCCACAGGCACAGGTGTAGCCACACTGCACTACATATTGCATACTCAATTACTATTAGAAAATCCCCATCCTGAAGAACTTGTAGTGTATGCAGGGGAGACAAAGAGCAGAAGACAGACAGCAATGTGATTTTACAGCTGCAGAACTGTGGCATAGAAAGGGAAAGAAACGTACGAAGTGACATAAGAAGTACAAGGCACAACAAGAAAGTAAACCCGATTACTGGAGACACAGTGTTCAGAGCCTTAAGCGTAAGACTGTGGTTTCTCTCAATTCCCCATCTGTCCGAGCATGGCTACTTCTAAGAGCGTGTCTTCAATACAGGGTTAACCAGTTGTGACTAAGTCCCTGTAATTAGCATAAGCCCTGTTCTCACCCAAAACTCCTAGCATGACTGCAGCAGTGCTTTTAATTTGAAGTTACTAAGTGTATTCATTAGAGATGGAGTCAGAGCAACTCCTCCGCTGCTAGCAAAATTGCTCTGTGCTGCTCGAAGCCACACAGTAACCGCTCTGACTTGACCTAGGCTAACTCGAAGGGAGTTAATGTGACACTGTGGAAACTGCAGGTAACTGAAATAAACTCTGCAACCAGATGTAGTCTAAGCATTTCAGTCAGGCACAACATATTTCCAGTAATCCACAAAGGCAGGAAAAGACCTAAAGAAGCAACCAAGAACAACTAAGTAGGCGTTTTTTCCAGTCCTTCAAATAATTGATTGTTCTGGGGCTGCTATGCTAACAAACAAAACATGAACGAACTACAAAACCATCCCTTAACACCTCCCCTGCAGTGATCAGCGAGTAATTAGGAACTTGCCCCAGTATACCTTTAGTTCTTGATGTCCTTTAATTTCCTGAGATTGCATTCTCTGCTAAGCTTGAGCACAGACATCTTTCCC